TCTTCTTTCTTTAATTTTAAAACGGGACAGTGGATGATGTATATGTCTTGTAATTTGTGATGGTGACATATGTTGTACTGTCTGTCAAAAATATTAATAAAAAAAATAAAAAAACATTAACAGCTTCAATTTGAGAATGTATGTTATATGCGACTTTGCTCTGGAACCCTATCAAGGATCCATGTAGATAGTGAGCACCTTGCTGCACACACAATCAAAACTCAAGCACACAAGATTCATGAACACACAACAAAAAACGAACCTGTTCTGGTGGTTAAACAGGTCGAACCGACATAAAGTACCAAGTTACCTGACGTTTTCATGTCTGTACATGTACATGGTGTTAAACTGCTGCATCTCTTTCTGACTGGGCTCCTTCTTCATGTCCTGAAGCATCTCATCAGCTATGTGCTTTGGAAGGATGGAGAGCAGCAGACGTTCCTGTGGGAGACAAAGACAGACACACAGGACATTATAAACTGATAATGCTGTTAATAAACGGTTAGCATACTTCTATTAAAAGTGGGTGGCTGGGGCTCAGATAGTAGGGTGGGTTGTATACTGATCACAGGGTTCGATCCCTACCTCCTCCTGTCCACGTGTCCTTGGGCACTAGAACCCTGGGTTTCTCCCCAGCCACTGGGGATTCACAAGCTAGTGCATTCTTACCTGCCGGTCCCAAGCCTGGATAAATAGGGAGGGTTGCGTCAGGAAGAGCATTCGATGCCAAATCAAATAAGCAGATCATCAGATCTTCATGCCCGGTTACAGGCATTGTATCCTGTTTTGTACGTTATTCACCATCTTGTATCAATATGGAATCAGGGATCAGAGGTAGCCTGCACTCACTGTGCGACTGCTGAAGCATTTGATGGTTGAGCGTTAAGCTGCAGAGGCTACTGTAACACCAAGGCAATTGAATTGAATTACAATCAAAGCCACCTACAAAGTCAAAATTGCCCGCTCTCATGGATCGCGGGATCCCAATCCCAATGCAGTCATCTACACCAGACCTCCTGCTTTGGTTTTAAAATTCTCCCTGTTATGGAGGTCTCAAGAAGTATGTCCAGGAAGCCTCCCTGTGGACATCAAACTAGGAGGAGACCTACACTCTAAGATCACCCAGTAAAGAAGGAGGGTGCAGCTAGAGAGAGGGCATCTGGGATACTTTGTTAGTCTGCAGTCACCAAGACCCATACTTGATAATAAGTAGGGGTGTAATGATCCATAAATCTGGATCAATATATCAATGTAATTATCAATGATCCAATATGATCGATGGAGAGTAAAAACATTTGTCTGTGTCACCATCTCCATCCAAGCTCACTCCTAGAGTATGCTGATGTTCGCTGTCTGTCACTGTGTCCATTACAGTTTATTCTAAAGGCGTAGCAACACTTTCGATGGTTTAGCAGTCTGTTAATTCCCTTTATCTTCAGCTGCATTTCTGACGTGAGATCAGGTGAATAGTGTGTTGCCGCTGGCTAAAGGTCACTAAAAGCGAGTATTCCTATCAATGTCAATAAATAGAAAGTTTTCTACGTGCTTATATTACTGTGTTTCAGCTTGTTGTTTCATAAAGCAAGTTCAGAGTTACAGGTATAAGTATATATATATTTGTATATAACTTCTGGTAGGGCTGTGCTGGTGCTGGGATGTAGTAAAAGTTAATCTAGGCCACAAAAACAAAACTTTATTTTTAAAATATCATAACAGGGATGAAGTGAATCAGAAAAAGCATAATAACTTGTTGTTGAAGAGAGGCAGATGGAGAAGAACTGTCCTGTAGTGTAAAAGCGCTTTGATTGGTTGGAAGACTAGAAAGGCGCTATACAAGTACAGTTCCATTTACCATTTACCATTCCTCCCTCCTATCCCTGACAAGTGCTATTCAAAGCTGTTACTGACGCTCATATTTGTGACTGTCAAGACAGCTGTTACATTCAGATATCCCGGTCATAATGTAGCAAAACTGATTTTGTTAAATAGGCGAGCATACAATCGGCATCTCCTATTAATCGCAGGCCCCTGAACCGAATCGAATCAAAATCATATCCTGGGAGATTTTGTGATGTCAGAAAATATTGCATTGTTGTCCAAAGAATCGATATATAATAGCGTATCTATATGGTATGGTATGGTTATCTGTATCTGATTGTATCTGTATTGTATAACATCCTACCTGTACCTGTATCTGTATCACTGTACCATATCTTATCTATATCCCTGCTTCCTCTTGCTGCATGTTGAAATGTCCTTGAGCAAGATAGTGAACCCCAACTTGCTCCAGATGCTGTGCATCGGCGTGTAAATGTGTATGAATGAATTACTTTCTCTTTGTGATGAGCCTTTGTCATCACTGTATGAATGTATGTGAATGGGTGAATGCAGTTTGAGTGGTCGGAAGAGTAGAAAGGCACTATATAAGTATAGTCCATTTAACACCTGTATCGTATTGTATCGTATCGATTTACACCCTCCATAATAAATGGCAGAAACCCCATTGGTACAAATTATATTCCTTCTGCTATACAGTCCATTGGAATTAGGATTTGAACTTGTTGCACATATAAAAATTATGTTGCTTACTGTCAATGGGTCGAGTTTCTTAGTCTTGTAAAACAATTATTAGACAAGAGGCACTAACTGCAGTTCTATCAGAAAAAGAATGAATAAGCAAAGTGCACATGGTGTACACAGCACAGTCCTTGTAGAAAGCATTGTTTACAGGGAGCTGAGTGGCCTCAAACTGTCAGTCAGTGTGGCTGCACAGATTCTGCACACAGTGACCCAGACCCACACAGACAAACCGAAGTGTCAAACCAAAATAACAACAAAAAGCCTCCATTACAGACGGACACACACGCACACTTGACCTCTGAATACATATTTAAAACAGGCCTTCACACATGTACACACAGTGTACAAGGTGGGGTGGGGGTCGGGGGCAGTATGCCAGCTTTCAATATTCTTATCAAAACCTGACAGAGAGGTAGAGAAGCAACCGGCAGAGCAGGTTGGCTCTGTGATTACAGCTGACACCATCTCAGGAGGCTGGTTGCCATGGTACCCAGCAGCAACCGGATGCTCCTTGATTGGTTGGCGGGCCCTTGTATCCCAGCAGCCCATGCTTCTCCATTAGTATTCTGGGAGTTTCTTCCACTCGTGGTTTTATCAGCCCTCTTCTTGTCTTATTCCTCTCTATCTCTACCTCCACTCTCTTCTATATTTTCCTCCATAATCACCCCATTCTTCTCTTTCTCTCTCTCTTCCTTCCCTCTGCTCTTTTTCCTTGCTCCCTTGCTCTCTCTGGTGCAAACCATGTGCTCCATAAATAGTCGTGATGGAGAATGCCCAGTGGCCACAGATGTGAGCAGAGGAGGGAAGCTGACTGCTGACACAGTATGAGCTCAAACAGACATGAGACAGACAAACAAACCAACACACACGCTATGCTATTTGATACGAAATAACACGTATCACATATCGGGTGTAAGAAAATATCTAAAAATATCATATCCCAATATTTTGTTTTGTGGTATTGGATCAATTCTCAAAAACACGACATCAACTTTTGTGTTTAAACTTCCAACTGCTGGATAGATAGCTGTGTTGTAAAGTGAGGGCTATGATGTTGGGTGTTACAGGGACTGTGATAAATGCAGATCCCACTGTTGCATTAAAAAAGGAAACTTTATTTGACAGTGACAGCTTGAGATAAAGAAAGGAGAAGGGAAAGAGAGGTTGCCTTTAGCCATAGTACATGGGGCACCAGCTCTACCAAGGCACCCTAAAGTCAGTTATTTTTATTTGTTTTCAGATCTTATGTATATTGTGGTCTGTTCTTTATACCATGACAATTTTCCTAAAAGTTCAAGATCAAAAAATCACAGTATAAAATCACAATATATAGTATTGCAGTATACTGAACTGATACCTCTGTATCGTGATTAATTTCGTATCACTACATTCTTGCCAATATATTTATCCAAAACGGTAACAGTGTATATATCGCGATACAGTAATTGTTAAACAATTGTTTAAAATAACGGTACCATATACTTCACATTTAATTATTTTTCTTATTTTATTTGGAACTTCCACACAACAAAAACAACTGTCTCACACGAGACAACACTTGGGTTAGCTGAGTCTCTCTTCTTCTACAGCCGTTAGAGGTGCATTACCACCTCCAACTGTTATCTTGAGAGGCAGCTGGATTCACAAGATCACAGAGGAATCCAGCCTATTTGCTACATAGCTTGTCTTGAATATATATCAGAGACACTGAAGCTCCCATTGTGGATTTATGGTAGTAGATCCCAACCTTTTTCCTTAGGGGTAGGGTTGGGTACCGAAACGCGGTACCAATAGGGCACCGGTTCCGATGTAAACGGTAGTAACCAGACCGAATAAGAACGAACATTTCGGTGCCTCATTTCGGTGCCTGACTTTTTTTTTTTTACCGCCCCCTGGTGTTCCGGTGTCAACTTGCGTGACGTCAGTGCCGCTACTCAGCAC